CTCTTTGTCATACTCGATTGTTGAGGTAAATCGTGTTTGGTCATCGTAGATAGTGTTAGCTATCTAAAGACTCTTTACTGCAGTTGTTGAACAAATGGGTGGAAAAAATAGCAAAAAAGACCAGCACAGGGAAGTAAATGATTAATGATTCTACACACGGAAACTGTGAAACAAAAATATAGATTTCGAATCATCCCCAAGGCACTTCGCGTGACCTGATAAATAGCTTTACGAACCATTTCTACAAACGCTAGTAAATCATTATGTTACTCACATTGCCAATTTTTGTAGTATTTCGCGCAAATGAGCGCGACTTGCTTTGCTGACACGTGGATAGACTACACTAATCAAGGAGCAAGCGGCAGAACGACTGGTGAACCAATCACCGCAAGAGAGCCGTTCGATCATGGGATAAAATTCACAAACCATCGCCTCTCGTGTGTGCTGTTTGGCAATGTTACGGATAGATTCCACGGCCTTCTCACGAACAGTGACCTCTTCCACCTGAAACAAATATCAGAGCACGGTGATATGTAACAAATTCATGCGAAAACGCGATGCATTTTAAAGAGAAAAAGGTGGATAAAATTCAAATGCACTTAGAGTGATATACGTTATGATAGGAATGAACAATCATGTGAGGGAAAACTACAAAGGGTTGTAACGCCGCGGGGAATTTCTTATTGCACTGTGGATCCGTTTCAACCCATAGGAGACTAACGAACAACAGGCGGCGATGGAACAGCCCAGACATCCCAAGGATGTGACTTTTTGAAATGTCTTACGCACCTGTATGTGTATTTCAGTCTATCGTTATGAGAACCACGCCCCTCCCGGAAAAGCGGTTCGTCAGCACTTGAAGATTACCAACAAATGCCGCCACCGCGTCGCTGTTGAAGAGAGGTTTGAGCATAGACTGTACCCATCGTGATAGTTGATAGATTCACCACTGCGGTTCTTAATGATATCGGTTCATAGAACAGTAGGACGGTATTTGCGCGGTGATTGAAGCTACTGTCAAAACCGATTGACCCAAACTACCGTACTACCATACACCGTTTGGTAGTTGTACAAACTGAAACTGAACTGCAGCAGCAGCAGCAGCAGCCGCATATAGTGCATGAGGCTGAGGGCCGATCCCGAAAAGCGGACCGATAGTCAACGCACTGGCGAACAACACAATTAATCGAAATTCAAAGGTCTGGCGTGACAGGCCTTCAGAAGCTCCCACACGGGTGCTCCGTTCACGCTCCCGCGTTGGATTTACGCCCCACTGCCTTGTGGGTCAGACTTTTGAATCGAAGGCTCCAGTTAGGGTTCCCAGAGAAGAAACCCTTCGTCGGTGTGGGCTGCCACGAAGTATGCCGTGCCTTAAAGTCTTGGGTACCCATTTGGAAAAGCATCTTTCTGTCTAGTTCTTCTCAATCCCAAGTAATCCCAGGTGCCTCCTGTTTACGAGACCCATCGGATATCAATCCACGTTCAGCTAATAAGATCAACTGGTAGACTATCAGATTTTTGAAACCAAAATCCCCTTTTCACTTAGCTGCACTCAGTGCTCGCACATTCTACCAGATCGGTCAACCAGCAGCTAGAACCCTTGAAACCTTCCATTTATATGTGTGCTGTCTCCGAAACACGCATACTTCAATCTTAAACCCCGTTCTTAAGATCCAGCCTTATTCTCACGCTTCAATCTACGGGTGTCAGGCGATCCGGCATCCGTAGCTCGGTGTCGCTGGGATTGCGCTAAGTGTCAAGGCTGAAAGTTCACT